ATTTCTAAGCCCTCATAATCATTGGTTTCGTATATCATACATAGAATACATATGTACATACTCGTAGTACTAATACATATATGCACCATATGTGCTTATCCTTAACACCCGCATATCCACCGCTCACCAAAGCAAAGCACATTTTTGTGGTGACGACAAAGTAATCAGACCGAACGCGGTTCGCTTGATTTTACCCGCCGCCGTGTGCGCTACTCATTATGCAAATAAAAATTCCACGTTCCATAGTACGTAAGTATTATATAACCCCCAAACCGCTGTTGCGTTGCGGTGCGCTGCCGCAGAGTGTTTTGTGAGAACAAAGCGAGACATGTGTTTGTGTGTGGGAAGCATATTAGTACATTGTATTTCTAACTCTGTAGATATATATTTGGTTAAATTTGTGCATTTTCACGTATTTCATATGATTTCTGCTTCTTCCTTTTTATCTTCTTCTTGTTCTTGTTTTGTGGTGTGTTTATGTATTTCCTAATTGATTAATAATAACCAACTAGTACGGTTGATGAGCGAGTATGCATTATCAATGGCAACTTGTCGGCGGTTATTCTTGACATATACTTATGGATATGCTGCCATATAATTTAAATATGTGGCAAGTATTTCGAAGGCGGAATCCTTAAGGATATTTGCTTTTCGTTAGCTACGTTGCTACTCGCAGGTACATATCGTCACCTAAAAGGCAAACACCGTATTATTAAAAAGCGATATTGAGTTTTTTTTATTGCTTAAGATACACTACATCATATTACATATATAAAGCGACAATTTTTCGGCTTCTGCTGTCAGATATAACGAACATGTAACCAATATGTAACCAATATATAACCATTTTATGACCAAAACTCTAACTCTTTCGGTTTTATATATAAAGTAAAGTTTTGGCTTTCGCTGTCAGRTATAACCAATATGTAACCAATATGTAACCAATGTATAACCAATATATAACCAATATGTAACCAATATATAACCAATATATAACCAATATGTAAACAATATATAACCATTTTATGACCAAAAATGTAACTCTTTTGGTTTCATATATAAAGTAAAGTTTTCTGACTTTCGCTGTCAGATATAACCAATATGTAACCAACATATAACCAATGTATAACCAATATATAACCATTTTATAACCAAAACACGAAAACTTTTGATTTCAATATGTGTGGTTTCTATTATAAGATTTTTCCTGCTCCTGTAAACTTATGAAAAGTGATGTTACGTTATTTTGTGTATTGGGTGACGTTATGTACATATATACTTCCTGCTTACCTTTCACCTTTCCATCAAACCGCTTGCGCGCGTGCCTTGCTTATAATTTACATATCTGGCAACCGTTGTGCGCGCTGCTAAATTGTTAATTTGTTGGCTTGCATGGCCTTTTGAATAAAATATAAATAAAATAAAAAGTAATCAAGGGAAAAATACAAAATACTTTCCTTAAAAGTGAAATAAAATAAAATTACCAGATAAATGTGCTGTAAAATGAGTGGCAGACCGCATGTGGCATAAATAAGTAATTTCGCTTACATATGCTTAAGCAGTTGTTTTTTTGAATAAGTAATCGAGTGTTTAAAATTAACGTAAGCATTAAACTTACTGTTTGATACACTTATGTGATAAGTATTGGGATGGCACTGCAATACAAACCTTTTGGGAAATATAGTGTGAAAAAGGTTCCCGGAAATTGTAAATAAAACGGAAAATGTTTAATTATTTCTGATTATCTATTTTGTCGCCTTCGAAGTAATTCCCATCAGATTTCATACACTGATGGTAACGATTTTTCCAATTCTCGAAACCTTTTTCATAAGCACTCAGCCATCTCACCAGGTCTTCAGCTCTTTCAGTGAACTTTTATCTCCGATAATGACTAAATAGTTCGTTATATACCACTTTTTATATTATATAATGACCTCGCATTTCAAGAACAAACGAACTGTGCAGTACCTTCGATTCTAACTGACACGACCTCCCAACTAAATAGCTATAATTTTTTACTTCAACAACTAATTACCGTTATTAACAATGTACTAACCACAATTATGTGGAAATTAATGCTGAAATGGTCGAACACAAGACAATACCTCTATGTATATATGTACGAATGGCAATTATGTATACGCGCATAATTTGTGGCAAGAATTTACTTGGTACATACGAAACCAAGGCACCCAAAGAAACCACACAAACACGCTAACAACAAGAATTTAATTTGCATTCTTCCGCAATTAACATGTGTGAGCGAAAAACAACCCATAACATAGGTATGCCGAGGAAGTGACGATGAACAAACGCCGAAATGTACACAAGTGAGGGAATTGTATAGCGGTGAGAGGAGGGTATGTTAATAATGAAACAAAAGTTTGGAAAAATGGAGTTAGTAGATAGTTTAAGTCAACTTAAGCAAAGGTAGATATTTTTAGTAATATTATATTAGAACCTGGCTATATATTTCTCCCGGAAGACATTTAGTTTGATTATTTTCATGTATTTAAGCTTTATCGTAAAGTTTGACATTTTCAATCTTATGCATACCCAGCATATTTTGGCATACCAGCGCTACTACACTCACTTAAAATATTCACCGCGAACATTTTCGCATTTTTTTTTTACTATTTTCGGCGGGTATTAAATCAGCTTCATTAGGGACCAGTATTTAACGATGGTCTGTTCAATTAAATCGCCGCCTTTGCTCACTGTTTATTTGATGACAGGAAATATTTCGTCTTGTCCTTGTAAAAAGCGCAGACCCATAAGCTTCATTTCCTTATCCAGTCTGGAGAAAACAGTTTCAATATTAGCTTAAAATATATTATTGAGATTTGGTAACTAGGTAGATAGGTAGAGTGGCTATCTCTCGACCCACCTAGGCATTCAAAGGGCCCATTGTGATACAGCCGGGGCTAAAGTCCCCACACACTGTGATGAAATTCATTTATCTGAGAAACCGGTGATACGTCGTCAAGAAACACTCAACCGATAGTTGTGATTTATTTCTAGAATATGTTTTTTAATCTTCTTCTCGTCTACCTCATGACATCTTCTATAATAGTTCCCAGTTTATTCTCATGTCTGCCTCGAAGCCCTATTAATACTCTTAGTAGAGTTCTTATATCATTACTTTTAGATTTTTATAATCGCTATGTGTGGCGCATATTCTATTTCAGCCACATTTGCCTGCTTCTCGCGCAAGTTAGCGTTTGATTCACCGAGACTCAGCTGCATTTTTAAAATGTTCATTGACTAAATATCTACAAGTGGCCAGAGACATGTAAGTTCGCTCTCTTTGGAATTCTTATTGTAGGGTGGTGCATGTTCTGGCGAGTTCATCTGCTTCACAGTACCCTGGGATATCACTATGTCCTGGAAGGTTTAACGTAAAATAGCACCTCATATCCACGAAGAGCTCTAAATTCTGTCTGCAGATCCAACCACTCTTATCTGTTATGCACTTTTTATATTAATCCTAACTAACTGTCTCATAAAGGTCCGCCATTGTTCTAGAACCCTCATATTTTTGTTTCGTGTATTTACTAATTGCTTCCGACTTTAACTTCTGAGAATTGATTCAATGTTAATGTTATGCTTAATTCCCTCATAATCTTATTGTTGAATTTGATGATATAAGATTGAGCCTCTTTGGTTTTTTGTTTTTATCCGACGAGCATTTTCAGAACTTCTAACTGTGTGTGATAGATTTTAGTACACGCGCTCTTCACTTTTGAGCGGTTACTCAACACTGGTGACTTCATACTCATAACGAATGAATTCACATATACTCAACACATCTATTTGTAAATATGTATGTATACAGGAATACAGAAATGCAGATTTGTTTACTCAGCTCCACTATCAACAATCTGGGCGACCTCCGCGATCTCAGCGACAGTTTGATAAGCGTCCAAGCAAAAAACTCTACTCAGCGTTGCAACTGAGTATGTAACGAGTTGAGTGTTATCGCTTCTGCTGGCCGACATTTCGATTGTGTGACTGCTCTGACAGACATCACTTCCTATTTGAGGGCATTGTCAATTTAAATTTGAATGTAGACACAAATTTCGCTTTACGACATCCAAGAAGAACGGCTGCAGGTGTACGAAAACAAAATGGCCAAGCCCTGTCAACGCTTTAAGCTGCTGCTTGCCTTAACGCTGCTGCTGGGACTGGTATGTAAATGTCGGCATAGATTTCAGCCATTGCGTTGGAATGGAAAAGAAAACTAGATCAGAAATTTAGCTACAAGCGAGTCTTTCACATTTCTAGCTCGTCAACTGGGCATTCGCTTCAACCGCCGAGGAGGGTTTAGCCAATCGTCGTGAACAATTGCTCGCCACAATGATTGAGGAGTATCTTAAACTGACCGACTATGAGTTGGTACAAAGCAAAGCGCTGGTGCAGAGTGTGTTGGCCGATGAGGAAGTGCAGCGCACACGCAGTGATCTCATGGAGGCCGAACGCCGCATTATGGAGAATTTCGTGCGGCAAGTCGTCGACAAAGAGCAAGAGGAGCCGCCAGCGCGCAGCAATATAGCCAACCGTTTGTTTTATCTTATTGCGAAGTCGTTGATTTATCAAGAATTCGAAGCTATACTTAGACGGCATGACACCACAAATCCGCGACGCAAATTTAGTCCCGAAAATTACCTAATTGAACGTGCGCTGAAGAGAAATGGACTGGACGATTTGCAACGCAGAGTTACGCGTAAGCAAATTAAGTTTATGAGTGATTTTGTCAAGGACGTCGACGCTTATTTGGCGCATTTGACGCCGCAAGAGCGCCGTACGGACGAGGTGGAAGCGCAAAAAATGGTGGAGTGGTCAGCTAAAATGAAGGCCGAAAGCGATGTGGAGCTGAGAATGGAGACTTTTAAAGATTTTATGCGATTCTTTGTTAAATTTTGAAGTATACATTGACCTATATATTATATTATATGAACTCAAACCATTTTGACTGTATAATTTTACATTTTAGAGTAAAAAATGTGGAAAATAAGTGGATTCTAACAGTTTTGACAAAAGTTTGTGCAAGCTTTTACTACCGACTGTGGTTCTTTTCTGCATTAACATTCGCTAGCAGGTTCCAAGGCGTCTTTCTAATACAATGAAGCGGATGAGTTTTTACAAGTTTACCACAAAGTTTGAACAGTTCAGAAGGAAGAGTTAGAGACCCTACAACGGGACGGGATGGACAAAAGGCAAGGCTTAATCGCCATTTATATATATGATCAGCTGAGTCGATTAAACCATGACCGTTGGCCTGTCCGACCGTGCGTTCGTCCGTCTGTATATATGCAGACTAGGCCTTAGCTTTTGAGAATTCGTTGTGAAATTTTGCACCCATCCTTTTCGTCTTAAGAAACTGCTTCGTTGTCTGAACCATCGATATCTTCACCAAATGTGGCACAGATGATTACCTCAACTAATATTGCAGTATCCAAAGAATTTGTTCCGAACGAATAACTATATCATATAGCTGTCGTACAAACTGAACGCTCAGAATCAATCGCTTGTATGGAAAACTTTTTCAGTTTTGGAGATATCTTCACGAATTTTGGTACGCGTTATTATTTATGGGTACTATATAATATCCGCAGAAATTGTTCAGAACGAGACACTGTAGCGTATAGCTGTCGTACAAACTGAACGCTGAGAATCAATCGCTTGTATAGAAAAATTTTTCAGTTTGGGAGGTATCTTCACGAATTTTGGTATGCGTTATTATTTATGGCTATTATACAATATCCGCAGAAATTGTTCAGATCGAGTCACTATAACGTATAGCTGTCGTACAAACTGAACGCTCAGAATCAATCGCTTGTATGGAAAACTTTTTCAGTTTTGGAGATATCTTCACGAATTTTGGTATGCGTTATTATTTATGGCTATTATACAATATCCGCAGAAATTGTTCAGATCGAGTCACTATAGCGTATAGCTGTCGTACAAACTGGTCCATTAAAATCATGTTCTGGTAAGGAATCCTTGACATTTGAGAAGGGCATTACAGCTGCGTTGCAGCCGCAATTAACCTTTGTTTCCGTTTTATCTGCTGTTACAAGAATTGGCTCAAAATTCAAAATGGCTGGCAACGCTATCGACATCTATTTATTATTTATGATTTGTTTTCTAAAATAAAATTTCAATTGCGTTTCAATTCTGAAATCATTGTTCTTGACTGCGATCTTGTAACATACAGATCTGGCTGTTAAGTACCTTAATTTTATGATCTATACAGCCACTATTACGCCAAAGTTATGGCTCATTGAGTAGGCGTCTTCAATTCGGTGAATTTTGAATCCAAAATTCAAACCATTCAACGTGAGCAAAAATGTATAGTCTTCAAGAATTTGTGCTTAACCCTAAATCTGTCATAGCATTCCACAGCCGTTCTGCGGCTAAAACTGGGAAACCTCTCAACATCTTTTTTTAGTAAGTTAGCTGATAAGTAATCAACAAGTCAGAAGCCCGGGCCCAATACTCCTTCAAGGTACTAAAGCAAAACACACATATATGTACATCTTTTGGCTGTTGTTGTTATTAAGGAATTTGTATAAAAGCGCATTCGAAATTGCATTTAAAGTAAAAGCTGCAGTGGGTACACATCGCTAGAAGAGATAACAACAATCCAGTTACTCCGAATCAAATGGCTCGAGTGCCTATCAACAATTATTTTGCAGTGTTTGTGCTGGTGATTGGTGTAAGAAAAGTATACATAAATTAGTAGTAATAATCAAAAATATATAAACAATTTATCAACACATCTCAGCTCGCCTGCAACAACGCCGATGACACTGAAGAAGAAGACCCCGAAATAGACATAGAAACATTTGGTTCGCGCAATCAGTTGTTGGACTCCATGTTTAATGATTCCCTTGTATTAGCTGAATATCTTTTTGCGCGGAGTGAGGAATTATGTGAAAAGTTAATCGACGATGAGATTTACAGGAATGAAACGGGTGAGGAATTGGAGAGTCGCGACGCTGTCGTGAAAAACTGCCGTAGACGCGTTGTGGAGCGTCTTGATCCTACAGGGCGTCGTTATGGCAACTCCGCAGAAACCCTATTACTTAAATATGGATTTGCGAATATTCAAAAGATGGTGCAACAGAAATATGAAGAATTCTTCACAGAAATTGTGCAACGAATGGATGATTATGTGAAGGGTTTGACGCCGGAGCAGCAAACCAGAACGACAGCACGAAATCTACGAAAGTGGTCAGGTAAAATTAAGGACGCCCCAACTGTGTCAATGAAAGACATGTTTTTTAGAAGTTGCATGCGATTTTATTATTTCGAAAGGGGGGTTTAGAGCGCATGCTGTTAAGTGGTTTCAGGAAATAATAAACGGGATTTTTGTTTTTTTTTGTGAAAATGCAAGGAAAATTACAAAACTCTGTCAAGATTAAGTTCTAGCAAAAATAAATAAATAATTTTTGCTTTATATTGAAGATTTTACTTGACATAGTTGGAATAATCCAACTCAGTTCGAGTATTTATCGTTTTGTTCTACAACTTGTTGGTAAATTGTAGTTGATTTCGAAATGCCATTGTCAAAAAAACTCACCTCAATGCGCAAAAAAAAAAAAAAAAAAAAAAAAAAAAAAAAAAAAAAAAAAAAAAAAAAAAAAAAAAAAAAATAAGAAAATAAAAAAATAAAAAATAAGAAAAAAAAAATAAAAAAAGGCTTTTCTTGAGGCTAATATTACATCAGCAAATAATGTGTCGCAGACATGTGCAGATAATAATCACTTGCTGCCAGGTCCGAACCGTGAATTGTATGGGCATGGTACTTGCTCAACCAAGCTCCTGGGGCATCTGCTGTGCTACTTATAATGTGTGGCTTGGTGTGGTTCTAATTTGGTGAAATTAATAACCAAACCGCCACAGCTTACACGGTCTCATTACTGACTATACACTTGCGAGTTAAGAGTTCGGCAGTAGAGAAGCAGCTCATAGTAGATGATGCCCTGCCAATCCCACCAAACACTTAGCAAAAATCTCTTGAACCTCAATACTGTCTAGGACAGCTCACCGATATTGGAACAATGCTTATAATATGGCGTAGTCACGCTTTGCTGGTGTCCACTTTTATTGCTCATTTTTGACGCGTGTTCAAACAAAACTAAGTAAAGCAGTCATACAACTTTGTGAGGATATGTTTTTGTATCAAATACTATCTTTCAAATGCCATACTTCGGAACCCGATAACGGTTACAAAACGCGAGACACATATGATGAACCTGTTATTATCGTGTGTTTGGTAACTTGTTTCTTCCTGCTCTGTAGACAGTTTACCACATCGAACTCTTTTATCCAATCTCAAATTAAAGACATGGTACCGTGATGGATTTCTATGTTTAAAATTTCGTTTAGCCTTCACACAATTGTGGCGTTTCGATCCGCTTCTCCGATTTTCTAAAAATATTTGTGAAGCTGTGTTGTTTTTTTACTTGAAAATTGCCCGAGTCCAATGGATTAAGTACCAAATATTTTTCCCTACGTACAGGCATGATAGGCTTTTTAGTCTAATCAGTCGTCTATGTCGGGTTTATAACGGGGTTTTCAATGAGAGCGCTACAAAAGTTTTTTAATAAAACAAAAACCGTTAGGGTTTTAAATGAAATTCTTTAATCTTGTGAAAGTAAATTGGATGCCATTATGTATGGAAGTTGAATTCTTTTGCATGCCCACCCCAGGCACGTTTGCAGAAGTCCAGACACTGAACCCAATATTCGGCGGTCGATACTTCGATATTCGTACGAAGTTCATCAATCGTCACTGGCTTGTTGCCATAGACCATAGATTTGATGTAGACTCACAGAAAATCGTTTAACGGCGTCAAATGACATTACCAAGGCGGCCAATTTACTGGGGCAATTCCTGAGATAATTTCGGCCAAAAATATTCGGTTATCATTGAGCGGTCATTGGCAATGCCGCCGCCGGCCCATAAACCGTACCATTTTTTCGGGGTGCAATGGTGACTCGTAGAGTACGTGGATTGCTGCCTGACCAATGACATACGACGATTATGGCGGTTAAGCGGCTTCAGTTTTTGCGTCAATTTGATCTTGTGAGGATTTAGGCCAAGATTTTTACGCAAAAATCGCCATAACGATGTCACAGTGATACCCAGCGCTTGAGAACGACGTGTGAGAGATTGATTTGGCTCTTCCTCAATTGATGCGCTAGCGGCAACAATGTTCCGCACACTACGAGCATTTCATTGTCCCACTGGCACGGGAACATTTTGCACTGTGCCTGTGGATTCAAATTTTTCCACTAGACGGTCAATTGTTGATCTTACAGGACCATCATGACACTGACTTCGAATTTCGGTAGTAAATTTTAATAATTTGGACTCGTTGTTGGATCGTATTTTTTTCCATGATGAAATGGCAAACCTTACTGAAGAGAAAAATATAGCATTGTTTGCTGTCCCTAAAAATATATAAATATACATATGTAAATGATCTGATAAGCCTTAGTTATGATTTCTATCTTTTAAACTGTTAAAGACCTTGACGCTCCCAATTTATACTATAGTGGTGACTGTACTACTGAATACTCCAAAGCTATGACTCATGAAGTAAATGCCTTCGATTTGGTGAATCAAGGGTTCAAAACTCATACCAGTAGTTTTGAGAAAAATTTCTTATATTTTCTTATTGTACATAATGACATTCATTAGCAGCTCTGAGCAGAAAAATATTAAGACCTCAAATGTTAGCACAGACGCACACCACATTTTAGAACCGCGGCCTAAATATTGCATAAGTTAATAAGCATAAACGAATTACATCTGTTACAATTGTTGTTGATCTTTAAAAAATTGCATAAAAGCGCATTCGAAACTATATTTGACAAAAAATCAGCGGAGAGTGCACATCGTTACAGGAGATTAGTACGGTCCAAATACAAGTAACTCGACGAAAATGGCTGGAGTGCCCATCCACAAGTACTTGGCTGCATTTCTGCTGGTAATCAGTGTAAGAAAATTATTGACAATTTTTAACGACCGAAATTAGTAACTTTTCTCAACTTACCGCAGCTCATCTGCACATACACCGATGACACTAAAAACCTTGAAATAGATATGGAAACTTTGGCTTCCCGCAATCAGTTGCTGGACGCCATGCTTGCAGATTCGCTGGCTATAAACAGCTATATTTTTGCAAGGAGTGAGGAAATATGTCAGAAGCTTCTCGATGCGGAGATAAATAAAAATGAAACAGGCGTAGAATCGGAGCCTCGCGCATGGATGCTGAGTGATTGTACTATTCGCGTCGTGAAGCGCTTAGATCCCACCGCCAGTCGGCGTGGAAATCATCCAGATGATAGCCTGCTACGCAAGTATGGATTTGATGAAATTCGAAAAAGTTGTGGATCAGAAGCATGAAGACTTCTACAAAGAAATTGTGCAGCGCATGGATAATTATGTGAACGGTTTGACGCCGAAGCAGCAGAGAAAAAAGACGGCACGAAATCTGAAAAAGTGGTCAGGAAAAATTAAGAACGCCCGAAATTTGGCTAAGAAAGTAATTGCTTCCGGAAAGTGTATGCGATTTTATTACTTTAAGAGAGGAGTTTAATGTGTCTGCTTTAAATGTGTGAATTTCACAATAAAATTTAGAGAATGTGAGCAAAATGACAAACCTCTCGGATTATGTTGAGTTTTTCTTTAGACATGTTCAAGCAGTTACGAAAATCTGTTTTTCTTTTCAAGATAAAATTGAGTTCAATTGACGTAGCTTTCAAGTCGATTAAAAGCATTCGGTGCGTTTTCTACCCGATTTTTTTTAAATTCTATGGCAAAGAGTACTTTATTCTATGACTTGAAAGAGCACTATTTTTAGTACAAGCAACTTGTTTTTGTTCTCATAAACTCTTGGCTAAACCTTCCCGTTCTTACATCCTTTCAATAGACTTATTTTCCTAGAATTTCTATCTTTTACTGTCTTTAGCTCTTATTACGGAACATTGACGACAGTAGAGGCAGTTAGCTAGCCATCACACTATTCAAGTAGCTTCGTACGGATGCCGAGCTGTCGAGAGCCCTTGACGTTCCTTAACCCTCAGCAGGGAAGCCCAAAAAATTGTGCACTAAATGATTAAAATGAAGACCGAGAGCCTTTATATATAATTCGTGTAAAATTTCGTTGCACTTGCATTTATTATGACTTCACTAGAACGGTACACAATGAAATTTACGAAAGGGCTGACAGTCTAATCAGGGAAATACAGATGGAATACCTTAAGTACATGCAAGATCGGCAAGATATGCGCAAGAGTGCCTTGGGAAAACTCGTTTGCTTCTTACACACATAATCTCAAAAGGATTGTCGGTCCCTTGACGGGTCACAACGCTCTGGCATTACCTGCGAACCGGATGCGCAGAGAAGTTAACATGTGAGAGACGCTCGAACACCTCCAATACCTTTATTTAGCATTATCTAGAGCTCCACTCAAGTATCAGAAAGCTTCAAAGGACTGACCGAGGTATTAAACGTAGACATCAAGTCGCTCTTAAAGTTCGCAAAAAACATTGACGTCCAGTGTTGCGAATTCTTCACCTCAAGTTAAACTGAACCTCCAACTGGCATTACTAAAAACGAGTAAGTGTCTGTATGGCGTGATATTAGGAAAATATAACCCAGCATAACCTATATTTAGCTTATGAGATGACTTAAATAATAGGCTTTCATTTGAATGAAAACGGAAAATTAAGTTTATTATTAAATCTTTGCAGAAGTGTGTCCAAACTTTCACGAATGTTCATGGTTTGTGTCCGTGCTGATATTTTGCACGAAATTCCTAGAAGTATTTTACTGGATTTTTTCGAACATTTTAAGTAAATGTAAAGCAAATTCCTTTGCAAATTACGCATGAATCCAATCTAATTGTTGAGCTTTGGTCACAAAAGGTCCAAATTCTAAGGATCGAGATCATGTGGCCGAGTTTGGCTTTGATCTGAGAGATCTGAGAACACAGAATTTGAAGAATTTGAGGAAATGCAAGCAATTATTTAAAGCTGTGAGAGTATATTTTATTAATTAGGAGTGTGTTAATTAAATTCTTCCTTCATTTCTGCAATATTCACACACAAGAACAATTTAATTGTAGTCGAAAATTTTGCTGCTTGATCCTGCTGACACTAAAGACAGTCTCAGTTGAACTAAATTATTTATTTTTTGCGTTCTTTCGATTGAAGTTCAAAGGTGCCAAGATTTGCTTATGTGTGTCATTGGCTTTCAGAGATATCGTGACATTCTTTGGGTTTCAGTAACCATGATCCTTTTTATATCTTTGAAGAGCATTTACCGTTTTTAAAGCTGCCATTTTTCATAATTTCTTAAGTTCTCAAGATGTTAATTCCACTTCCTTTAATGGATAACATTGAGATTTCGATTTTATTAATGGATTTCTAGATAAACGTGGTACGACCTTTACACAGCGTAAGGAAATTAATCAGCATTCTTTGTTTAAGGCTTAGTGCTGAATGCAGGAATTTGACTAATCGCATTGATAAAGTAAATAAGACGTAATAGTTTGATATTCCATACCAGTCGAGTATCGCTGGGGACCCTTAACCCTAAATAACTCTCACTCTGTTACACAAATAGAGAGATGTATAAGTGACTAAGGAGATCTTGTAAATAGCAGATAATGTTGTGTGCGTCACGCTTACAATCAACAAACTTAGCTCTGCCGGTTACTGGCTGTTTCTGGTACACTCGGTATTCCATGAGTTCAAAGCCAAGCTGCACCAAAATTTCAGAATTTGTAATTTTTACCAAATAACTTTGGAGCCTCGTTAATCAGTCTCATACTTTCGTGGCTATTGCCGACACTAGAAATTGTCATATGAAATTTCAGCAGCTGTTACTGTGGACTTAAACCACAAAAAGTGCGAGAAGCGCGACCAAACTACTGTCATATTATTTTTTGAAAACCTTAGATCCAAAATCATTTCCCATTTGCATTCGACATAGATCCAATGATACATTCTCATCATTCGCGCAATTAACCTCAGACGGACAGCAGGCTGATGCAGCAATGTTTCCACAATATATTGCCATATATTTGACAGTGTTGCTGGTAACCAGTAGCCAGGCTGGTGACACCACCGCAAAAACAGAGAGACGGCAAATCCTAGATGTACGCGATGATTTGATTTGTATTGGTATTATAACAACAAGATTTATTGAGATTGTCGGGTTTGAGTTGTAAGAGAGTGAGAAATTATGTCACAAGATAATCGCACCATGCACTGTTTCTGAAATATGGACTGAAAGATGTACAACCTCTGTGCTGTGAATCGAAAACGAAGGCAGCTAGTTGATGATAGTGCGGCGCATTGACGAATTTGTCAATTTTGACGCCGAAGCAGCAGGGCAAAGCAATTGCAAGAAACCTAGCCCGCGTGTCAGCACAAATGAAGAGGGCAACAAAAGTGACGCAAAAGATGTTTGTTTTCAGAAGTTTTCTGCGATCATATTATTTCGAGGGAGGCATTTAGTAAACGTGTTATTATTATTTTAATCAAAAAGACACGTAAAATTAAAAATTAAAAAAAAAAAAAATACTGTTTACTTTATAATTTTTTGTTTTTGATTTTTGCAGTTTTTTGTGTCCTACATTTATTAACTTTGCCACTAATTCTATGCGCCAAGTGTAGTCGTGTCCTTTTCTATTTCTTGGTTCTGAAGAAGTTTTCCAAAGTGGTCCGAAATAAATCAGAGGCGAATATTTTTGCTTCTCATATGGTATACATATGATTGAGCTATTTTTCGTTTAATCGCTTTATTCGATTTCAAATTCCTTCAACAGTAAGAAATACTTTGTAAAATGTGCTCTTACCCACCACTAACTCAAGTTTATCAGACACATATTCGCTTTTGAGTAACTATACTCTGAAATCATTGATACATTTTAAAATAAGGTGGCTCATATTTTAAGTCCTTAAACATTTCCAAATAATTCCATACCATATAATGGATTTCTCATTATGAACGCTACAAAAGTAGACCGATAGGGGCGGCAAACGACGCCATATTCTTTCCCGCTCTTTTGACATTTCTCTTTTCTTGCCATTTTAACATGAAAATATATATGATCCAGAAACAAGTCGAAATTATTAAAATTTACTACCGAAATTCGGAGTCACGGGCCTCAACGTTAAGAGCGCTATGTCCAATTTGAGGCCATCATATGTATTCGTCTTGTCAGATCAACAATTAAGTGTCTAGTGGAAAATTTTGAAAGAATTGAAGCCGCTTAGGGCGGTACGTCTGCCGTGAAGATCAAGACCGGCTGGTGGTCTGTGAATGGCAATCGCTATTGCTCAATGATAACCGAATATTTTGTGTTCGAATCGAATGATATGGACTTGGACAATATGTGGGTCCAAATGGACAGCGATGAAAGCCACACAGCGAACGTTATAATCGATTTATTGAAAACCAAGTTTGGTAAACGTGTTATCTCACGAAATGGCGGCAATTGATGAACTTCGTACCAATACCGAACGTTGAAGTTGCAACAGTATCCGATTTATGCTTCGAGACTGTCGAAAATTGTGTTCAGCGTCTGGACTTCTGTAAGCGAAAAAGAAATCAAGTGCCATACATAATGTCATCGCATGTACTTTTACAGGAATAAAGAATTTCATTTATATTCCAAACTTTTGTAGCGCTCTCATTGCAACACCCTTTATTTTTGTATATTTTAATTTTAAAAAGGTTATTAAGAATTTTTTGAAAAATTTAGGTATGAAAAATTTTTAAATTTTAATTTAATTTGATGCGATTATGTAAACTGTTGAAAACGCATTAGCCAAGAATTTGGTAGCTGTTTTCGAATTTTTCTAAGTTTACATATTTTAGGGTTATGATCTAATTGCGTTGTGCATTTTGAATGTGTTTTTAAAATACAAATATACCAATCATATCTACATGCATACATATAAACAATATATAATACTACATATATAGAGATATTACAAACAATATTTCTACGATAACCTTGGTTCCTGATTTCGCTACTTGTAATGAAACTGATAAGCCCGTTGACGTCACGTTTACAATTTACAGTAAATGGCTAGTGAGTATTCTCAAGGTGCTTGCGAAACTGTATTTAAACTTAAATCAACGGAGAGTACACATCACTAGAAGATATTAATTAGTACGGTCCAATACTTTCTAAATCAAATGGCTGGGCTATCTACACACAAGTTTTGCGCAGCGTTTTTGCTGGTGATCGGTGTAAGCAAAATATAAATATATATTAAGAAAAATATCAACAATTTATAACGCAGGTTGTCTGCGCCAACGCCGATGGTACTGAAAACCCGGAAATAGACATGGAAATGTGGGCTTCACGCAATCAATTGTTGGACTCCATGTTTGAAGATACGCTGAATTTAACCGGTTATGCTTTTGCATGGAGTAAGGAAGTTTGCCAGAAGCTACTCGACGAGGAGCAGAATCAAACAAGCGCAGAACCAGAAGCTCGCGAAATGCATCTGAATAATTGTCTTCGTCACACCGTGGATCGTTTAGATCCCACAACAAGTCGTCGTGGCGATCACCCATATGAAGTCCGATTGCACAAATATGGATTTGAGGAATTTCGAAAAGTCATGGATCAAAAATATGAACACTTCTTCGATGAGATGGTCCAGCGTATGGTTGACTATGTAAAGAGTTTGACGCCAGAGCAGCAAGGCAAAGAGACGGCGCGAAATTTGAAGGGTTGGTCGGGCAAAATTAAGAATGCTCCGACTTTGGCAGGGAAAGAAATGGCTTTCAGAAAATGTATGCGATTTTATTACTTTGAGAGGGGTGTTTAATGTGACCGTTTTCGGTTCGGCCATTCAAAAGTTAAACATTTGAAAGTGAAAGCGGAGCTACAAAACGTTAGCAATATTTTTTGTTTTTGTTTAGTGACTAACTGAGCTCGTCTTAAAGTTCTTAAACGCATCTAAAACATTTTACAATATGATTAATTTAAGCATACGCAGCTAGAATGCTTGCTATCCCGTTTAAAAGTAATCATCAACTAAAATTTTAAAATTGAAGTTCAAATCAGTTTTTTGGCTCTGACAGTAGCATATTAATATTTTATAAAATTAATTTAAAGCAGTTTGTGCGAAATTTAATATAGTTGGCAACCTTATCTAATGTAATGTAATATGCTGAAGTCTTACATTCTAATAGTTCAACACACGCACTCACTATTATATATGAATAAACTTAAGTATATGCAATTAAATTGATAACCTAGGTTCGTTTCACAGATTTTGAAGTTAAATTTATAAAGACCTTGCTCTCACTTACCTTATTCACGTTAGCGATGTCGTTTGCTTCGCGGGCACTTAGCAAACGCATTTCATTCAGTGAATTGGTGCTTGAGTATTCAATGCGGAAACCATAAAAACATAAGCAATTTTAAAAAATTTAAAACATCGCTGGACATTTTTGAAAATTTTTATACTTCTTATCGTTGTATCTCAAAATAATCACCAGATGTGTTGTAGTGAAAATTCGTAGAACTCTCCACATATTTTTTGTCAGTTAGCAAAGACGCACACCACTTACAAGAACCGCGGCCTAATTCCTGTCTAAGTTATTAAGACAAAATTAAAATAATACATATTCAATGGCATACTGAATTGCTATTGACTTCAATATTAACATAAGAAGGAATTCCAAATAAAATCAACTGAGAGTGTGGATCGTTAGAAGCGACTAGTATAGTCCAAGACGAAAATGGCTGGAGTGTCTATTAAGTACTTCGCTGCATTGCTGCTGGTAGGCGGCGTAAGAGATAAAGAAATAATTATAATTACTAAAGAAAAAAATCAATTCATTTTCCCAACACACTTCAGGTCGTCTGCATCAACGGCGTTGCTAATGAAATCTCCGAAACAGACGTGGAGATGATTGCCTACCACAATCAGTTATTAAAATCCATATATAATGAGGCTGTTAAATTAAGTATATACGTTTTGCGATGGAGTGAGGAATTATGCACGAAGATGGACAACGAAGATATACTGATATACAAGAATATAGCAAGTGAAAAGTCTAAGAAAACTGTAGAACAAGTTACTCGCGAAACAATTCTGAGAAATTGTATTAATCGTGTCGAGGATCGTTTTGATCCCACAGCGAATCGTGACGATGTATATGGTCCAGACGAACCCCTGTTGCTTAAGTATGGATTGGCTGATATTCAAAAGGTTGTGGAGCAAAAATATGAAGATTTTTTTGAAGAGATTTTGTGGCAAATCAAATTATATCTGAAGAGTTTGACACCGGAGCAGCAAAGAAACACGACGGCACGAAATTTGAAAGGGTGGTCAAGTAAAATTAGGGCGGCTTCAACTTTGGCACGTAAGGAGTTGACTTTTAGAAGTTTTATGCGTTATTATTTTTTGCAAGAAAGTGTTTAGAGTGCGAGCTGTTTAATAATGTTAGAAGCTCATTTAACTGCACACAAATTAAAGTAGCCAAGAGTTGGCAACGCTAACGGATACTACAAAATTTTTGTATATATAACTAAGTCAGCTCCTTGAATTATTTTCAGCGATTAGAAAATATTGAATGTTGCAATTAATTTATAGCGATTGTTTTAGATATTAACTTGAATTGCTAAAAAGGTGGCAACACCTTTTTTTATTTTTTCTAAAAATATCAGCATTATGATTTCATGTTTTGCTTTACTTAATGAAATAAAGTAAATTTATTGTAAACAGGTGGCAACTCTTTTGTAAATATTTTTTATTTTAAACATGTTTAAAGCCAATTATTAAACAACTAATAAAATAATACCACTGAATAGTTAAAACAAATATAATTATATATTACATGTTTGTATATGCAACATTTTCTTAAGGTGGCAACACTGTTTTACTGAAAAAATCTAATTATTATATTTTACACACTTTATGCCCAAACACGAATAAAATAGTTAATCCGATGATTGAAATTTTTAATTAAACATTTAATTGGTAACGGATGGCAGCCCCGACCAACTTTGCCTTCAGCTCAATTTTTGCATCTGAAACTTGTATTAATTTTATTTCGTAGCTCATTGCTATACATTACAAATTTTATTGTATCTCACTTTTCATGTTTTGTTTAAAATTTCAAAAAGCTGGCAAGTCTATATTGAACTTTTTTTTAAACTATTATTGATTTCTGTAAATAAACTTTCAGTTGTGTTTTGTTTCAAAAATTGATGTTAAAATACCGACATTGCAGAGATATACACAGACCACAACATTTGTTTTTATGAACATATCGGGTAGTCGAAAAAGTCTTTTCGTATTCCCCATCAAACTTTAACTTATTTTTTTTTTTTTTCTGATATTTATAATGTGCTATATGATTCAATCTGATTACATTGGTTCGTGACTCCGATCTTTTACCTGAACTGATAAAGAACTTGACGTAGTTCGACTCATTTGCATTAACTGGCTTCAAAGCAGTGACTCATTAAGTTAGTGTTTTCTATTCGGTGAGTTATGGGTTCAAAAACAAATTTAGACAACACCAAAAATTTCGAGAAATTACTTGCTGTGCTACTGCTCAATCCACTGAGTGCCAATGAAGTTTCATAGTATATACTCGTAGTAATAATTCTATGGTGACAACTTGGAAAAAGTCCAAAAAATTCTTCATGATTTAGCTAAGACTCACACCACATATAAAATCCTCAGCCTATCTTCTGTCCAAGTTATTAAATTTTAAAACGCTAAAGTTATTACTATTGCTGTTGTTATAGAAACATTTGTATTAAAATTCGTTCAAAGCTGCATTAGCAACGAGATCAGCGGAGAGTAAACATCATTAAAAGAGATTAGTACGATCCAACTATCTGAACTCAAATAGTTGGGATATCTATCAACAAGTTTTGCGCAGCGATTCTGCTGGTGATCGGTGTAAGCAAAATATAAATATTTGTTTTCGCAGGATATCAATAAATTATACCTCGGGTGGTCTGCATCAACGCCGTTGGCACTGAAAACCCGAAATAGTCATGGAAATGTGGGTTTCACGCAATCATTTGTTAGACTTCATGTTTGAAAATTCGCTGAATTTAACCCGATATGCTTTTGCATGGAGTAAGGAAGTTTGCCCGAAGCTAATCAACGAGGATATATTTAAAAACGAAACGAGTGTAGATCCAGAGAACTTGAATCTATAACGTCACTTTCTTGAAGATATCTCTTGAATTATTAATAAAATAGCCGAACAAAATGAGGACAAAAAAATACTTTGATAAATTTTTAAACTATAAAAAATGCACCTGATGAAGGTATTACAGCTACGGTACAGTTGAATTTAATCTTGTTTGATTTAAAAACGCTGGCAACTCTATTAAATATATTTTTAATCGTAATTCATAATATTTTGCCAAGCATCAGCAACGCCAGCACAAGATTTCTCAAATTTATATACTAAAAACATTCATCAATAGGCACTCATACATAATATAATAGGTCGTTATATATGTACTTAAAATAATGAACATATCTACATGTACACGATTACTTCGCTTAGCTCAGACTGATCTTGTAAGAGAACTGATAAGAAAATTGAAACGCTCTGCGCTCGCCACACCTTATCAGCTAATGGACGAATGCTGCTGCTTGCTGTGAGAGTGTATTCGTTGGCGTCGCGTACAAAGTTCATACGTCTGTATGTATGTATGTACAAAAATTTGTGTGTTGAAAATATTTTCGAAACTACGCTTGAAACAAGATCACTAGTGTGCGCACGTCGTTTGTTGAGATAAGCAGCAGCTCCGGGCTGACGCTTTGCAGATTCCAGAAATGTCACAACAAATGAAGAATAAATATTTCATAGCATTGCTACTAGTGATTGGTGTAAGAGTAAAAGCAAATTCATATTTTTGTTATAAATAAAATGCATTAAACTGTAATTTTTTCGATAACAAAGCTCACCAGCACCCACGCAACCACCACCACCACCACCGAAGCTCCCGCTGAAGTTCCGCTAACACCACGCGATCAATTGTATGAAGCTGTGACGGTCGATTACCTGAAACTACTCGACTATGAATTGAAAGAGAGTAAAGAGCTGGTGGAAAGAGTACTGGACGATGATCGATTCCAAAATATACGCAGTGAAATTTTGTTGGACAAGAAAATCACGTTACGAAGCTATGTTGAGCTCGTGAAGGAGAAGAATAAGAAGAAGGAGCCATCAAGAGAGTACAAAGCAGCACGTTTCTTCTACATCTTCGGCAAGTCGTTGCTATATACCGATTTCATAGATATTGTGGCGCGTTTGGAGCCCACACTGAGTCATTATGATTGCTGGATTGAGGATGACTTCATGTCTTTTGGACTCGAAACTTTCATTGAAACGCTGAATCAGAAACGCGCTAAGCTCGTTCGTGATAGTGTGCGGCGTATTGATGATTATGTGAATGGCTTACCGCCAGATCAACAAAGAAAGGCCACGGCACAAAAGTTATCCGATTTTTCTGTGAAAATGAAGGAAGCCACAGAAGTGCACGAGAAAATGGTTGTGCTCAAAGACTTTTTGCGTGATTATTACTTGGAAACACCGGTTGAAATGTCATAAAGTAGAAGTGTTATATATTAGTGAGGTTTTTCTTAGAAAATTTAGTGGAAATTAGCTGAGTTAAAAATTACTTGACATTTGTTAAAAGAAAATTAAATTATTTTTAAATAAAAAGCAAAATTGGAGCCAAAAAGAAGTGTTCAGAATATTTTTTCTCACTTTAGTTTAGTTACTACTATGTACAGTCTTGATGCTTTATATCAGATACATTATTTCAATTTTTAATCAACTTAATGATTATACTAAATATCTATACATATATTCTTAATATTTGCAACTAACTTAATCGGATGGTTGCCATCGCTAGCTTGGTGAATCTGCCTAATTGTAGGCAACGTTTTATTTCCGATAATTTATTTACCTTTATCTAAGCAAACATAGGGATTAACCGACCTTTAGTGTTATAAAGATGTTGCAGTTTTAGTTTATAAAGCTATTACTGAAATACTGTCTAAAATTAGGCATAATACTAAGTACTATTACGAACAAATATTTGTAGCGAAGTCAGGCACCCCAACGTATAACAGTTGGATCACTTTTATCATGTCTACTATAGTAGCTCATAAGCTTGAGCAAATCTTTAGGGATCTACTAACAATTTTCTTTAAAAATTATATTTCATTATTATTTTGGCAGAATTAAATTAGGTAGGCAGCATGATTCGAGTAAACGTTTAGGATTTCATGGCCGCCAAGATGTGACACGTTTGCACTGCGAAGCGATTTTTGGACGACTGCCACGCTCCTAAAAGAACCATCTACGCGGTTTACGACGGTTTCATTGATTTCCTCTAGGCTTTACTAAAACCTACAGAGTGAACCATTGCAGAGAGACAAACAAATTCAACAATTTTATCACTAGTTTAGACATTCAAGTATGGCTCGAAGTAGTAAGTTAGGGATTCAGTTCAAATGAAATGTAGGTTTATGATGGCTTTTTTGGCTATAACTAATTACCAGAAAGTTAGATTGAGTTAAGGTTAGATTTTTAAGATTTAGTTTAGATTTTAAAAATTTACATTAAAATGCTGAAAAAGATAAAAATGTCAGCTTAGTAGTTCATTTTTTGTGAAATATACCAATTAAGGAGTTTAGAAATCAGTAGTAGCACGAAGTGACTTATTTAATAAAGCTGTTTGTAAATAAGCGTTTGTCAGCTTGAAATTGCATTAAACCCAGAAAATTAGTTGACAAGTTAAAGGAGAAATATCAGCAACCATACATAAATTGCGAAGCTATGAAATTCAATAGAACTATAGTGTCGATTGGCAGAAGTTCAAGATCAGCAAAGAAAAGCCGCCAATAAGACAAGAATTGCATGAAAGGGATGTGTCTGCGAACACGAACATTTATTTGAGTTGACGAATAATTCAATGAAACTAAATCAAATTTCAATTGACAAATGAAAACGAAATTGACGTGTACGTCTTACATTACAAATTCGATTGAGAGTAATCGTAGTCGAATTTGAAATATATATTTTATACTAGAAACTTATTTTATTATTATTATNTTTTTTTTTGAAGTTCATTTGTTTCTCTGTGGATAATCATTTCTCTTAGTACCTAACAATCATTTGATTATTTGGTGCTGGAAAAAAATCTCGTTGTGACAATCAGCTGACTCGGTGCGGTTTTAGGGTTGCCAACAGCTAGTAATTATGTTCGAATTATTTGTTGATTTCGATAAAATGATACAGTACTGAAATCGCAGAACTATTCCAAGTAAACTTTGTTTTATTTGTGGTATGAGCGTCAACAAGTCAATTATTGATGTTCTCATGAACTTCAAACAATATTTCGGACAATACATGATACTTAGTATTTAGTATACCGAAATAAAGATCCTTCGCTACATAAATATTAAATTAGTCAGCTGTGAAAGTAGTTTAATGAAGCCTTGTAAAGGAAGAGATATTACATATATATATATATATGTTTATATATATATACATATGCTATATACCCTTCCTTTCAAAGAGATTATAGCGACCATCGCAACTCTTGCTTCAAAATAGACCTAAGTTTAGGTGACAACCACTTCAT